CAAGGCAATAGAAAAATACAATGCAGATCCGTCGTTCTACTGTAATCGAGCCCAGGCAAATATCAAGCTCGAGGCCTACGGCTATGCTATCGCTGATGCGACTAAGGCTATTGAACTAGACAAGGATTACATCAAGGTACGAAGTCGAACTCTCGCAGTTGTAGGACATTGGCTGACCTCTATTACACAGGCATACTGGAGACGAGCGATTGCAAATACTGCCATTCTAAATTCTCAAGATGCTCTCCGAGACTTCAAGACGGTGTGCCGAAAGGAGCCCAACAACAGGGAGGCAAGACTCAAACTCGCAGAGTGCGAAAAGCTAGTGAAGAAGCTACAATTCCTGAAAGCGATCGAAGTCGAAGAACCTCCGTCGGCATTCGAAGGACTCGACTTGGACTCGATAGAAGTGGATGAGAAATACGACGGCGTAAGATTAGGGAACGAAATGACTCAGGAATTCATCGACGATATGATACAGCGGTTCAAGGACGGCAAGAAGATCCACAAGAAATACGTGTTTCAGATCATCAAGGCTGTGAGAGATATCGTGTACGACGAACCGACCATGGTCGAGATAGACATTGCCCCAGATACCACGCTCACGGTTTGCGGAGACACCCACGGCCAATTCTTCGATTTGCTCGAGATCTTCCGACTCAACGGCTACCCGACGGAGCAACACGCATACCTATTCAACGGCGACTTTGTGGACCGAGGGTCATGGTCGACGGAAATCGCCCTGCTCCTCTATGCCTACAAGTGGCTACGGCCTAAAGCCTTCTTCCTGAACCGGGGCAACCATGAAACAGACGATATGAATCGAGTGTATGGCTTCGAAGGCGAATGCAGGGCCAAATACAACGAAAAGACTTTCAAGCTGTTCTCCGAGTCATTCTCTGCGCTACCATTGGCGACATTGATCGGGCAGAAATATCTCACTCTACATGGTGGCCTGTTTTCCGACGATAAAGTTACGCTGGACGACATCCGCAAACTCGATCGCCATGTGCAGCGACAACCCGGTCAGTCGGGTCTGATGATGGAGATGCTCTGGACGGATCCTCAACCTCAAAATGGCAGAGGCCCCAGCAAGCGGGGTGTTGGATTGCAGTTTGGCCCTGATGTGACGAAGAAATTCTGTGAAAACAATAATCTAGAAGCTGTGATTCGAAGCCACGAGGTGCGGATGGATGGCTACGAGGTTGAGCATGATGGAAAGTGCATTACAGGTAGGTTTAGGTCACCACTGTCGACTTCCCCGTCTGAGCTAACGTGTCTTCTTACAGTCTTCTCGGCGCCCAAATACTGCGATACGACGGAGAACAAGGGAGCGTATATCAACATCGGGCCCGACATGAAGCTAGAGTATCAGCAATTTGAAGCTGTGCCTCATCCTGATGTCAAGCCAATGGTAAGTTCACTGACCCGCGCCGGAGGATAGCATTTAGCTGACATCTTGCTAGGCGTATGCAGCAAGCTCATTAATGTCCATGATGTAGGCACTGTTAGTTGGATTGGTTGCATTTGCATATCCTGAAGTGAAGAAAGAGCTAGGTTACGGGGATCTACTGTAGACTCCAGTATACTGTGGACCATGTGTCAGTGCTCATGTATGTGTACAAGTGGGAGGCTTGGACAGCGTGATCGATTCATAGCGGGCGAGGCGCTGGATACAGGGAGGTCGATACTGGTGAATTCAGGTCCTAGTTTTGTTTTGGTAAGAATCCAAGTCCCTGGTAAGCCCGCAAGCTCGGTACCTAGCGAGCTAGGTACATAGGCATGAACTTTGAGTGCGATTGCGATTGCCAGTGTTAGTGTTTGGTGTTGTGCTTCTTGCAAAAACGTGGCTGAGTGGCGCAGCATCTACTTGTACCTACTTGTATGCTCCAGGCGAGATGGGCTGGTGCTGGTTGAACTAAAGACAGGGGGCTCGTCACATTTTAGGGGGCGCTTGGTGTCCCGGGTGGCGCCTGTCAGTCACTGGGCAAGCCGCCTAGCGGTCCCTTAGCAACCGCTCTAGCAAGTTTCCCTCCTGTGAGAACCAGTCATTGCCGCCTCTCATTCGCCGCCCGAGAATCGAGAAGCTGAAACCCTGCATCGCCGTCACCTGCAGCGCCCAAAACATGCTCGATTCGCGTCGAGAGCATCGAGAAGGGCTCCCTAGGCCCCTCACATGGGCCCCTTAGATTCAAGGGCTCACTACTTGTACTATTACTCGCCGCAGGCTGTGCAATACCGAGTACTGGGTAATCCCATCGAGAATCCCCTCCTTCCCCTCCCCGCTTTTTTCCAACCTACTCTGAACCATCACCGTGTTGACCATCTCACCCATCATCACTCGTTGACCATTACCATCATCAGAAATTGAATTGCACATTCCCTGAAGCCTCCTTTCCCCATCCGATTGGCAATTCTTGCTCAATTGCGACCACTGATATTGCATACCTGAGCGATTCGTGCCCGCGCCGCTCAAGATCGGGATCATTCAAGGTTGTTTGCCTTTCAGCCTGACAAGGCCACGGTTCCCTACAGCTTCTGTGTATAACGGGCAAATATTGTTGCCTTGTCTCTCTCAGCCCGACACTGTGTCCAAAAGTGCTGTGGAACCTCGACCCTCCAGAATTCTGTTCATATTAGCATTCTGCGCCCGCGACATTGCCGCTCAACAACAGTGAATCAATTAATCCATCCGTCAACAAAACATGGAGCACATTTCTCAGGCTAATGCGTGCAGCCATTCCCGCCCAGCACCGCCATCGAAATCCTTCTCTAGTCCTGAAGGAGGAGACGGTGAATCATCTCGGGACATGCCAGACGATCAATTTCCAGACAACAGGAAGGAGTCGAGCAGAGTCGCTGTCACCGAGCATACCGTGGACAACCGCATACTCCCAACGTTGAAGATGCAACATCCAACCTCTTTGATCTTGAAAGCTAAGCAACGTACATCCATGCCGGCCTTGTTGTCATCGAACAAAGCCCACCTGGAACGAGCCGCGGGAGGGGCACGTAAGAGCGCCTTCCTCTCCATCTTACCGCACGATTTGCATTACCTTCTCGCCACCGTCTACGTCGATTTTGATACGTTGCTCGCCCTGCGACAAACCTGTCGTGTGATCTACGAAATACTCCCAGTCGATGTCGTCCGTCGCACCCGAGCCAAATTGGTCAAGGAAAGCCTCGAGAACGAGGAGCGGCAGTACCGGGAATACAGATCCATCTACCCGCGACAGCGACTTGGTCATCTCTGGGACTTGTTGTACGCCGCTTTTGACTTTCGGCTCATTGAGCGTCCTGCCAGAGAACTTCGATGCTACGGTTGTCTCGAGGCAAAACCTTTGTGGTGCTTCGTCGAGAGAATGAGCAACCGCGGCACAGGTCTAGGAGCCAAATTTGCCCGAAATAGATTGTGCAAGGACTGCATGCGCCGATATCGCGACATTGAGGGGGAATGGTGGAAGGAGAACTGGGTCAAGAAGAGCGATACGGTCTGCAAATCGAGCCTAACCCGCAGACTTCGTCGGTGGGTGCTCGAAGGCCAAAGCCTGGTCAACCCTGCCGAGGAGATTGGAGTCTGCTCCTCATGTGGAAATACGACCTTTGAGCTGTGGTGGGGATGTGTCGCCTGCTTTGAACTAGAAGAGCAGAGACGGCGAGAAGAGGATCTGATGGAAATTGAGGGCTTTGAGCGGAAAATTGCCGGGATCTTTGAGGCCTGGCGAGTACGCAAGGGGGCGACACGCAGACAACGCCAAGCCAGTCGCGATCGCAGGACGAGGAACTGGTGGGCTCCGAGCTTCAATATCGCATTCGCCGGCGGGCTTGCCGAGCGAAAAGCTGCTTTGATCGAGTGGAGAGAAAACAGGGAGAACAAGGAAAACAGGGAAAACAGAAAGTCCGGAAGTGGTCCGACCAAAGCCAAGAAGCCCGACTCCCGCTGGCGCGCTCTCGACCAGATTCCCTTGCCAAAGAGCCGTAGAGAGGCAAGATGCTCATCCTGTTGGGTGCCCAATTGCCCCCGGCGAATGTACATTCTTGGTTTGGCGTATGAAAGACCGCTGCCTAGGGAGCGATGGTGCCCCGGATGCAAACAGGAGTTCGACCAACGGCTTGCCAGGAAAGGGTACCGGAAATGGAGAATGAAGATGAGCACCAACGAAAGGTCTGACAACGATTGGCCCGAATCGTTGGCCTGGTTGTTTGAGGAGAACTAAGGACAAGAGAGACACAGTGTTACGATGGATATGAAGGCGCTTTGAGGTGTTTTGACACACGACATGAATTCGTTGGCAGATACTAGAGGCCAGGAAGACGAAATGATCGGAATGTACCACAAATAAACCATTTCTGTTGCTCTTGGATCGACGAGTGAAGCATATGATTAGCCAGGGGGGATTTTTCAAGGACAGTGCCGTCCGAACTCTGTTACAATCCCTCAAGGCCACTCGCTTATTCTCGTCTTGTGTCGAACCCCGGATGGAATTGTGAAAACGAGATCCGTGCTGATCGAATATCTGTCTGGTGAAACAGGATGTTGCTTGCCTGGATACGCCTCCCCCACTCTCGCGCCATTCGGAGTTCGTATAGAAGATCTATGATACCGCCTCCGAGAGACGACGCCCACCATCGTCAACCGCTTATAGTGCATATTCCGTGTTCCGCCACACCACGAGCGGACATCGACCTCGACTTGACTTGACTTGAAGGGTTATACAAGCCGAATTCAGCATGGTCGGGTCGGGTTCTGGCCGACCCAGTTCAACAATGCTCGCCCCTCTCATGCCCTGGTTGGCATGGGCACTGTACATGGCTGTCAGCGCAGAGAAGCAAGAAAGGCCAAGGTCAGGATGAGAGGAAGGTCTATCGTATACAAGGTACAGGACGAGGGCAGTTGAGTGTTGTTCTCCCTTTGCATCCTTGTTCGCTTTGGAGACTCGTCCTTCTTCAGTTGATTCACCGGGATCGAGTCAAGCAGAGTATCTTCAAAGGGAGAAAAGATGGCGACGAAACTGCAGGTTCCGGCATCCTCATCCATCGTCAACGTCTCCATCATCGACAGCACCTCTCGCATCAACAATCTCCCCTACTACATCGCCATGACACCTCTGTACCCGGGCTACGAACACGGCTTCGTGCCCTGCTACGTCTTCCTGATCCATCACCCCCTGGCAAACACCCGCCTTCTGTACGATCTGGACCTGCGCAAGAACAACACCCATCTGAACCCGCACCTGGTCAAGAAGATGGTGCCGCTACAGCTCGGATTCAGCATCGAGAAGGACACGGCGGACATCCTGCATGAGAACCAGCTAGGCCTGCGGGCTATCGACACGATTATCCTGTCGCACCACCATTTCGACCACGCCGGAGACACGACCAAGTTCCCTCCCACGACAAACCTGCTCGTCGGCCCGGGGACCAAGGCCAAGTACAGGCCGGGATATCCTGCAGACCCGGACAATCAGGGGTCGACCTCGGACACGTACGAAGGGCGCGAGGACGTGGAACAAGAGTTTACCTAGAGCGATCCGCGGGTTCTGCGATATCTGCGGATTCAAGGTTTTCGACTGTTTCGGCGACGGCAGCCTCTACATCCTCCACACGCCAGGACATACCGCAAACCACCTCTCCGCGCTGGCGAGGACGACGCCGGCCACGGCTGAAGAGAACTCGACCTTTATTTTCATGGCCGGCGACCTCGTGCATAGCGGCATGTGCTTCCGCCCGTCAGCGCAGGGTCCACTGCCCGACACCATCGTCGAGTAACCAAAACACCTTCAAAGCGACAGTCACATCGACGTCCTCATCACCATTCCGAACCGAGCCCTTAACACGCCTCCACCGTCTCTATCCATCCATCACCACCACCACCACCACCACCTCCTCCTCCTCCTCCTCCTCCTCCTCTCCCCCCCTTACTCTTCTGAGACTGAGCCAGACGACCCCCGCACCCAACCCTTCAGCCTAATCGCCCGCAGCGTCGAAGAAGACAGCGCGGTCTCCCAGGCCAATGCGACGACGCTGGCCGCGCGCTTCGATGCCGACTCGGATGTCCTGGCCATCTACGTCCGCGACGACCGCCTGCTGGACAGCGGCGGCGTGCTCGAATTTTTCCCCAAGGCGACGCCAACGAACGAGTGGAAGGGGAAGGGGTGGAAGATCAGGGGACACTGGCGGTTTCGGGATAAGATGGTCCGCGCGTTCGAGGCCGCCGGCGGTGCCAACGACCGATAGGAGAGAAGGGAGAGAAGAACGATAAGAGACAGTCTAATAGATGGATAGGGAGACAGGTAGGAAAGGTGGAAGACACGCGTATCTGTTCAGAGGAGTAATACTGGGGACAGAGGACATCTCGATCATTTGCCTTTCTTTTTCTCCCTTCTTCTCCCCACCCCCCGTGTGTGAATACATGTTCCTGTCCATTTCCGCAATGGGGCCAGTTTTTGTAGTAAAAGGGACGAGATATCAGTCTTCAATGATAAAAGATATTGGTGGGTAAAAGAAAATACCGAATATATCCAACCCCAACGACATAAACGTAGTTCGCCCTCACTTTTTGTGGTTCGGTGTTCAATCTGGTCGTACAAGGAACTTCCTTCCTAGTCATCCATCCATCCACCCCGCCGATAAATCTGCTATTCATATCCATTGTGTACATGACGCACAGCACAAAGCACTTGGTTCGACAGGTTTTCAAGCTTCCTTGGCGATGCTCTTCTCGATGCCGTCGACAAACTCGACGGCCTCCTCGACCACTTCGTCCGTGATGCCCGGCAGCGTGACGTCGGGCAAGTATTTACTGTGGCTCTCCCGGTGCGTGGCGGGGCCTTCCATGAACGTGTGCATCTTGTCGGTAAGGTCGTCTGTCAGGCCGGGGGCTTTGCTGGTGGCGGAGGAGCGCATGAAGTCGCGTGCAGCGCGGGCAGCGTCGTCGGTCACGCCGCTGGACGAGCGCCGGATGGTGCCGGCCATGAAGTCGTGGGCCGATTTGGCCACGTCGTCGGAGATGCCGCTGCTCGAGCGACGGTGGGATGCACCCATGCCACTCGTCGTGGTAGTAGGAAGGGCCGTTGTTGGTGTTTCTTGCTTGTTTGCCATTGCTGACGAGGTCGACGAGGTTCTGTTGTTGGTGGTGAAAGGTCCAGGACCGAGGTGCTCTAGAGCTGGCAGGGAGGTCTTGTCGCAGAAAGGTGAGCTGAGCTTCCTCCCAGGGACACCTAAAGTCATATCCTATCCTATCCTCTTCCCACGAGCGAGGGGTCGCGTGCCTTGCCTAGGTAGGGTCCAAGGGCGGGGTTGCGCACAGCAGCTCACGAGATACCGGCGGGTTCGTGTTCGGAAAGGGCAAGAGAGCAACGCGGGTGTTAGTCAAGCATGGATTGATTCGCCGACGGCCTGTTCCATCTCTCGATGGCTTTGTGTGAGATGGACGAGAGTGGACTGATTCCAGGGAAGCTTTTACAGGCATTGTGGTTTCTTTGGTACAAAGGGTACAAGATATACCGATCGACGAGGCGATGTTGACGCAGCCAAACATGTACGTTGGACGGGTAATTGCAGATTACAGAAGCTCACCACCAACCTTCCTTCAAGATTGAGGCGATAGATGAACAAGATGGGAATGTAAGAGTGGATGGCGTGGTTGGAAGTTTTGGTCTGACAAAAAGAAATGCCGGAGATGGAGGAGTAGGTCCGCAGTAAAAATGACTGTGCATGTCAGACACCACACTTTATTCTGAGTGCCAAATATAGGCGTCAGGATCCATCTTTGCCCAAGGCAAACACATGGTGGCGGATGCGCTACAGCTCCTCCAAGTCAGAATGAAAAGCCCAGCAGGATGCATCATCGACGGCGTGAATATAAAAAGGAACAAGGGGTGATAGGCGGCCCAAGCTTGAGAGTCTCGGCGGTCAGAGACTCAGAGTTCGACCATGAGCTTGCGCGGGAATCAACCTGTGGAACGGACACGGCAGGTTCCAAGGTTCTTTGGTGGCCCCTTGTTTTGAGATATATATCATCTCGCAGGGTCGCTTCTCGCTTCTCGCTTCTCGCTTCCTCGAGGCACACGGCCAGAAGCAAGTCCAAGTACACCCTCAACCATGGGCTACGGCTGTTAGTGTTTGAAGGGCGCCGGACGTGGCCACGCCAGCAACGCTCAGCGGATGGGGCAGTTCTCGATATTCGCATGCCCTCCATCCCCCGAGATGAGGAGGGCCCAAAACAGGTCGGAAAGGGTCAGTGTGGAACAGTGTGGGCTTTAAAGCATCTCGCGTTGAAGACCCCCGACGAGGGAATGCTGGATCAGCTCTGGAACGACTGCTGCAATCACAGAAAGGTTGAGGGGGCATTTCAGCAAGCGTCCTGGGAATTCCGCTCGAGTGTCAACATCCTTCGCTGGAATAGCTGGGTTCGGCCCTCTAAGCGAGTCTTCTGGACCGAGTTTGGCGGCTTGTTTCCTGAAGAATTCCAGCCGACAAGTGGCATTCTATCGACCAGAATACACCCTCTCCCTCCGCCTCTCCGCGAGGTCCTTGTCGACCTCTTCGCTCCCCCGTCCGTCAAGGCAAACAAGGCGAATTTCCTGGCCAGTCCGGAAAATCATGACTGCCTGGTCCGCCTTTACCTGGGTCGAAGAGCCGAGCGGTCAGTGCCTGCCTCGTTTAGACTCCGCAATTTCGATCTCGTGGTCAATGAAATGAAGTATCTCCAACTTGATACGGGTACCTGGGCAAGTCACGGCCCAGACGCTTGCAGTCCTCCATTGGCGAGCGCAGATTGATGCAAATGATGTTGAATTTGTCTTTGGGAGGACTCCGGGCCTGGATATCGCACCGGCAACTCCGCAATCAGGGACCAGAGGCTGGAAGCATTCCAGCTTCGACAACTTCTTCAGTTTCGAGGTGCATCAGTGATCCATGGGAGTCTGGCTGTTGGATTTTGACCAATGTCAGACATTCCCAGAGTCCGCCGCGGGCGTGAAGCAGCTGGAAAAGGCCGTTTATTTCAACCATCCATATTATCCCCGACTATTTTCGAAGCAACCTAACGACATGGCCTTGTGGGAGACCTTCAAGGCCGCTCACCTCCAGGCCAGCGCACGTCTAACAGAGAGCGAAATGCCGGGACTGTTTATCGAGGCAGTCGAGGAAGAAGGCCGAAGGCGTGCTGCCGGAGGCTCTATCTTCCAGTAGCCACGGCGTACAGGGCGCCGCAGGATCCTAGGCCATGTCGACCGAAGCAGCCGTCACGATGGACGTGAATTTCTCTGTATAGCACCATCCTCGAGAGCCACAGTCTGATAGGAGGGAGAAGACCCCGGGGCACCAGCGGAAAAGATCCACGTCCCCAGCAAGCATCATTCGGTTACACCCACCCGGGACTATTCCATTCGGGGATATATTTCTGAGATCTCGCTCATCTCGTTCATTGAAAAATCGCCGTGTCTCCAGATGCCAACCTTTGGTCCAAATTGCTTGCTTCGGCATTCATGCGCCACATATGATGGTATTTCTGTGTTATTGTTGGGGTGATCGACTTCCATTTTTGGCACCCCAATGAAATTGGATGATCCGGATGAGGGTTTTAAATATGGCATTCTTATGGTGGCCGTCTGGCTCTATGGCCAGGTCGGCCTTCTCGAGCACCGCCATCACCACACCAACACCAAATACAAGCATTACCATTACGAGCAACCATGAGCATCGAGGTCTCTCTTTCTCCCAGCCATTCCAGCTGGCCCTTTCCCGCCGACCAGCAACTTGACTTCTACTCGACGGATCTGCCCATTTCTGGATATTCAGCCAGAGTCAGCGAGGATGACCCCTCGATACCGGAGCTGCCTCTGTTCCTTGAAGCTAGATCTCATGGCCTTGCAGACCCACGCAAGGTTGCCATCATTGACAAGACCAAGGACCAAAGTTTTACCTTCGTGCAACTTTTGAACGATGTTGCAGCCTTAAAAGCCCAAATCCAACGATATATCTCGAACTACGACCCATCCCTTTCAACTTCTGAAGAAGAACCTAGAGTCGCGTTCCTTGCGCCCTCAGGATACGATTATGTCGTCACTCAGTGGGCCGTATGGGCGGCTGGAGCTGTCTCGGTGCCTTTATGCACGTCTCATCCGCTCAAAGAGCTCCAATATACGATTTCGGATTCAGACCCATCTCTGATTATTCTGCATCCGTCATTCCAGAAATTCGAGGCTGGTCTGCAAGAACAGGCACCAAGAATCCCGATCATGTCGCTCACACCGCACACGCCAAACTCGAAAAACTTCCCGTTCCTTCCCAGATTTACCACGGCTTTTTCGTTATCGCGGCGAGCTCTAATCATCTACACCTCCGGCACGACCTCGAGACCGAAGGGCTGTATCTCCACCCATGAGACCATCACCTTTCAAGCACGCAGCCTGGTCGAAGCTTGGCAGTACAGCCGGTCAGATCATTTAATTCATGTTCTTCCGCTTCATCATGTCCACGGCATCGTCAATGGACTTACTGCCACATTGCTTGCCGGTGGCACGGTGGAGATGTATCCAAAATTCGATCCAAAGATTGTGTGGAACCGGTGGTCTCAGAAGGGCTCGTCGACCATGTTCATGGCCGTTCCAACCGTGTATTCGAGACTCATCGACTATTTCGACACCAGCATACGCGGAACGTCATCCGAGTCGGCCGCGCGAGAAGGTGTGCGTGCTCTCCGTCTCATCGTCAGCGGATCGGCCGCCCTACCGGTGCCCACGAAGCGAAAGTTTGAAGAGATCTCCAGTCACGAATTACTCGAGCGATACGGCATGACTGAGATAGGTATGGCATTGAGCTGTGGGCTTGAGAAGGAGAAGCGCATCGACGGGAGTGTCGGTTGGCCGTTGCCGGGCGTGCAGGTTCGCCTGACGGACGAGAAGACCGGCCAGATTATTACGTCTTCCGGCAAGGACGAGTCGGGTCTGATCGAGATCCGTGGACCCAATGTGTTCCTGGAATATTTCCGGCGGCCGGAAGCTACCGTGGAGTCGTTCACTGGCGACGGCTGGTTCAAGACGGGCGACGTGGCAAAGAGGGAGGAGAACGGCGCATACTTCATCCTGGGACGCGACAGTGTCGACATCATCAAGAGCGGCGGGTACAAGATCTCGGCCTTGGAGGTCGAACGGAACATCCTGGGCCACGAGCACTTGAGCGGCGTTGTGGACGAGGTGGCTGTCGTTGGCGTCGAGGATCAGGAATGGGGCCAACGAGTCGCCGCTGTCGTTAAGCTGAGGGACTCGGTAAGTCATTCATCTAGTTTCTCTATGTTGTTCTTTTCAGGGTGAGTGGCCTGGATCTTGTATGCTAATTCTGAAAAACTAGGCCGTCTCTTCTCCCAGTCTCGACCTGGCGACCCTCCGCAAATACCTGAAAGAGGACATGGCAGCGTACAAGGTGCCCACAGTGCTGAAAGTGGTTGAGTCGATCGAGCGCAACGCCATGGGCAAAGTCAACAAGAAGCAGATTCTGAAGCAATATTTCGAGCCGAGAGAGTGAAGGCCAGCCGGTCTTTGCCTCTTTCTTCCCATCTCTCCCTATTCTCGACGAGGATTTCATGTCGACAACCGCGGCGTTCTCGGACAAGACAACCTAGACCGACGGCGATTGATGTTGTTTGGGTTTTAGATGGGCCATCGACCTACTTACCTACCTCCCTGTTTAACTAACTAGAAGGGTTTGCATATTACTCTGTACACGACATGTACACGGGGCAAGGAGGACTCATACATCCAATCTATATACTAGGTAAACACGCCGAACTGGGGTAGAGGAATTTGACTACCATACACTAACCGCTATGACCCCGAGGTGCCTTACTGTGCCTTACCTCGCCTTGCCTTGCCTTGCCCTGCCCTTGGCCTTCAGCTAATCTTACCCCTACCTTTTCCTGATCGATACATATAAGGCTAGACTCGTGCGAAGACCTCAGTTGTCTTGAGCAACTGTGGCAGAGTCAAGTCCCATTGTATAGGACATGGTGACGGATCGGTCCGTCGAGGCTCTCTCTTCGTGTGCGTATTATCTTCCCGGCCTGGCCTTCTTTCATCGCCGCCACCACGTCCACCACACTGATTTCGAATCTCCTGCCCCGAGTCTCCAATGCCAAATCCACTCCATTCTGCTCTCCATCTCTAAATCTAGCTCGCCATCTAGGATCCAGCGCGGGCTCGGTTCAGACATGTGACGTGACAAAGGGTGAAGGTGGCGAGGTAAGCGAAGAAAGGGAAATAGGAATGAGGGAAGAAGGGGAAGGAGGGGACGAGAGGAAAGGGACAGAGGCAAGTGAGGTGTCTAAGTAACTAGAAAGTAGATTGGTTGGAGATGAAGCCGAATACACAGTTATATGGTAAGTGACAGCTCGCTGCAACGCTCATGTAACGTCTCCCCGGTACTTATGTACGTACGATGGACGCGCCCCAACGCTCTGTCCATTGCGCCAGCTAGGGATATCTCAACATCGCCCGCATGTCCAAAGGAATGTCAAACGACGAGACAAAATTGTTCATGGATGTCTGTGGCTCCTCTGGTACTACTCGACCATAACCCTTTCCAAGAACCTCCACTCGTCTCGACTTGGGTCCTCTTGCTTCACCTGTCCGTCTCCGTCTCCGTCTCCAATACCATCCTTCCAAGGCCGCCCGACACGCACCTGTCTGGCAACTTCATCGGTCAAGCGCACCGCCGCCCGCAACGTGTCCTTGCTGGCGCCGAGATTGACGGACCCAAAGAAATGGCCCTTGGCCTGCGGCGCGCAACCGTCCGCGAGACAGCAGATGAACTCCAACAGACCCGTCTCGAGGTCGCCGATGATCGAGTCCTCGGCCAGCAGCTCGCCGTAAATGCAGTTAATGGCAAAAAAGGTGAGGTCGCCGCCCGAGCAGGCCGACATGGCCGTCAGCACGCGCGGGCTGTGCTGCGCGTATATTTTCTGGAACAGTGCCATGCCCCGGGCTGATTTGGCCTCGGGGTCAGGAGGAGAAGTACTAGCCGCAGAGCGCAGGGATTGGTCTGCTTCGAGGATGCTGGAGAGGTTTGGATGGGTGGTCTGGATGGCGTGTTGGAGGGCGAGGAGTGCGTTGATTGCCTGTTTGGATCCGCAAGGTCAGTTACTATCATAATATACATACAATTACGTGGTCCCCTAATTTGCGTCTAAAGCAAGAGGCTTACCCTGGGAAATCCCACCAGCGTACTGGCTTTCAAGCATGCTTCCCGGATCCGTCTAGCAACAGCGAGCAAATCCGCCGTTTCGACCTCTTGCGAACATACGCCGTACCTTGTGCTCAGATAGGTCCATAGCTCTCCGATCAGCTTCTCCTTGTGGAAAGCCAGAAGGAGGGCCGTCGTCAGGATGTACCACAATGGCGAGGAGCTGGGGGTGTCTACCGCCGACCCCTGTGCGAACGCGTATTCCAGGCGGGAGAAGTCGACTTTTCCGCACGTGGCTGGCTTTGTCCTAGCAATGTCTGTAGAAGGTGCCGATGTTGTGGAGATGGTGGTCGTCGATGATGATACGGAGCTCGGGGTGTGTGTGCCATCACTGCTGGATGAAGAGACTATGCTCTCCTCGTCCTCTGCTCTTGGCAACGAGGGGATCGAATGCATGTTTGTCATCCTGGGCGGAGACGCCGTCCACGCGCGGGCAAAGATAGTGAACCCTCTTGGTTGTGCCATGATGAGGTTGGGAGTGCTTGTGATTCGGGTGAGAAACTGATAACAGGGTGGTAGTGGGTGAACTTGGCTTGATGGGGTATTGCGGCAGCAAGAATGGTTGTATGAAGAGAAAATAAGGGAGAAGGACATATAATATATATATAATTCTGCAAGATTCATGCACCTGTAGTGTACTGCATCATTCGTCGCTGTTTGTATCCTGCGTGGGACGCGGTAACAGGGGGACAGACTGATTAGTGCCGCGTGCTTACCAGGCTGAGCTGGGCGGGGCAGGAATAAGGGGTCGGAGCCTCGGGGGAATGGCTGCGTATATAGAACACAACGAGGGCTTCCAAAAGCACAGAGCGGCATCTGCCGGACATTTAACAATGAACATATCGCCATCCATTCCAACCTGTTATTCGGGCGCGCTGGAATTGTCACCGCGACGCACGGATGGAGGCGGGAAGAGCGACACTTCGGAGGCGAATCCTTGTGTCGGCCAGGACTCGGGATACACTTTGCTGCTCTTCCGCTGCACCGGATAGTCCATCGTCTGCCAATGGGAGATTCTTGAATCGGCTTCCAGAAGAATCCCCGAATCACGTGTGGTGATAGGGATGGCTCGGTGGTGATATTGAAGGAATGCGATGCAGCCATCGCCAGTGAGGTGGGCAGCACATTACTGTCAGATAGCCCAAGCTTCCACATCATCACCCTCATGGATGAAGGGCTCATCAATCTGCTTGATGCCCAGATCCCCGCACAGAACGCACTGCTCAGCGACCAATCCGTCCAACTCGGCAACTAGCTTTTGTCGCTGCACACCCACACTCAAGCCCTGGTTGACCTCCGTCTGGAGGTCCTTGATCCGTTTCCTCTTACTGCTCCCCGAGCTCTCAAGCACGCGTTTGCCCAGGCAGTCGCTGTGGAAGGCATGCTGACAGGGGAACACGAAAAATTGCCGGCTCAAGACTGGTAGCGTGCAGATCCAACACCGCTCACCCGCTTCCACGATGGCATAACGGTGGTCTAATGCTGCAATCTCAGCTTTGATTTGCTCTGCAGTGTGGTGCGAGAGATCCATTTCCTGCTTGAGGCTGTCAATGTGTCGCGAATACTCCTCGAGAGCCTCGCATATCTCCTCTTTGAAATCGTCGATCACCACGAAGTCGGGGAAAAAAGGAATAAGGTCTTCGATTTTGAGCAGCTCGCATCTCTTCAAGAAACCGATCGCTTCTTTAATAGACGCGGCTTCCTTGATCTTCTTCTCTGCAATCAGAAGCCATAACCTCTTCCGGACTTTGTCATTACCCTCCAGTCGATCGGCGACGATTGCCGCCAGGTCGATGTCATCGTGCTGCAGTGCAAGCTCCACCGCTTGCTGATATTGTCCCATGGTACTGTAGATGTGCACACATGACTGTACTCGGTTATGCTGAATGCAAAGTCTTAAAGCGAAGTCCGCGTCGTAGAACGGAGGAGAGGGTTGAGTTTCAAGGTATCCCAGTAGCATAGTTTCCGATGGGGATGAATGTGACGCCATGATCGAAATGAGGGCGTTGTGTACAGAGGCTGGCACCTCGAAGTTGTTTGTCACAACAAAATTCAAGTAACGCACCGCCTGATTCTGGTTCAACGGGACGTTGGCGTTCTCGTTGTAGCTTAGAAGTGCTGGGACGAGCTTTTGCGGGTCGAGATTGCTTCTTCGCATTAGAATCTCCACCAGCCCAGTTGCGACATGCGTCATGAGCACATTGCTATACCGATAGAATGTCTCGGGATTGCTTTGCTTGTTAAGAACCGACAGCGCCTCGTTCCATTTTTCTCGCTGCACCCAGTACGAAAGAACATAGTCATAGTCGGTGATGGCGTTGGCAAAGAACAGGAGCTCCTCTTCCCTGTCATGGCTCGAGATGACTTCATAGACTGTCTTCGCATCAAGATCCGATTTGTATTTTGTCACAAATTCTTGGAATTCGTTTCGAGCCTGTTCCAAATCTCGTTTCGCAGCTCCGGCGTCGGTGTGCTCCAGCAGTTCCGCTTTTGTGGCAATCATATCATCGAGCGAGTTCAACTTGGCCATGAAGATCTGGACGAGCCACGTTGCTATCATCACTCGTTGCATGACCGAAGACTTCTTGTATGAGGCCAGCTTGGCCAGTAGGTATCTCCTCAAAGCTTCTTCCTGCCCGTTGTCGATCAGCGACAGGCAGACTTCCTCAAAGGCTTTGCTGCTCTTTCCCCAAACGCTCGCCGCCTCCAAGTATTGCCCTTTGCTGGACAGGTAGTCCCCTGAAGCAGTTGCGACAGAGTCCTTCTGTGCCGCTCCTTTGGCATAACGAAGAGCAGCATCGTAATCTTGTTGTTTGAGCATGATCTTCCAGATATCCCGCTCCTCGTCATTTACAACCACCTCGAAGATTTCTTGGCTGGTAAAAAGCCAATATGTGTTCTTCTTCTGATCCGCTACCAAGCCAAGAGCCGACTGTCCAGGTTCCAGCACCGCCTGGTCGTAAACAACGCCGCCATCAAGGCGATTGACAGCAACTATTCGACCTTCGGCAAGGGCTAAGACGTGCCATTGAGACAGGATAGCCGAGACAATGGGATCTTGTATCAACTTTCGTCCGCCGCGAGCAGATATGGTTTCCGGAAACACGGAGCGAGGGTGAAGTCTAGCCTCACTGAAAATCTTGGAGCCTAGACTGGACGACGGCGGGGAGGTCAACAACTTCCCAGTCAGGACGCCCTGGGAATATAACCAAGCAAAACTGCGACACGCGTCCGGCCCAGCGTCTTGCGACTCGGGCGACACCGAAAATGATGACGGCGTAGTGGCGGAGGCGCCGGTGGTGTCATGAGTGACAGGAGCTTCCTTCGAGAACAGTTCGGCGTAGATGGAAGCTGAACCTTCCTTTCCTCGGCCGCCCGTCTTGCCTATCCAGTGACATAGTCTCGAATGTGATGCCACAATCACTCTCCGTATGTCCGCCTTGCCGTCAATTGTCTCTGCCCAAAGGCCCGTAACGGCGCCATCTGGGATCTTCCAAACATGTGTGCAATAACGTTCTTCGCGGCGGTAGAACTCCGATGCCGGCTCAATGTATATCTCATAGACATTCCCATCCACCGCGCCGACCAAGATCTCTCGCGTAGAGGCCGTGGGTTGTGAAGGGTTCCAAGCGATAGACTCAATGGATATGCCTTTTAGCCTAGACAGTGCTTTAGGCTGCTTCGATTGGCTGTGCAGGTAGAAGTTCTCCCCCAGCGTGGTGGTGATGATCAAATGGGACGCCGAAGGGTCGAGGAACATGCGGCGGATGAGCCCGACCTCGCTGGTCTTTTTGGGCAGGTCGACATCTAAGAAACACAACAATCATCACCGTTAGCAAGGGCCGCAAGTCTTACACAAAGGCCATGGTGGTCATTTCCTCGGGGAATGGGACAAACACACCGTCGATGTCCGAGGGGCTCTCGAGATCGATCCGCAAGATGCGCCCCGTGGCAAGTGCAAGAATCAGGACGTTGTTGGCGACCTGGCCGGCCACGAAGTCAGAGGCGATGTTGAACTGCAGTTGCACTCGTTCGACGTTGAAGATGGGGAGCGTCGTCTCCACGCCTGAAGCCAGGCCGGGAGCCACGTAACCTTCGTCCAAATCCAGCGCCATCGCGCCGCGTCGTGGCGGGTTCAACACATTGTCGGTTTCTGGTTCAGTTGTTGGTGGCTAGGGACGACGAGTCGTGGTTCAACCGAGCTGGAGGTTGTAGGTCGAATCCCGCAGCGCAGTCACGGCAAGGCTGCATCATTAAGCTCCACGTGATGGCCAGGCCCGTCAGGAAAGCCTTACACATTGCAAGCACAAGCGCGGGAAAAAAAAAAATATTTTCAGACAGGTTGAAGACTGGTTCTCTAATTTCATCCTATTTGAACGAGAGCGATGCCGCTAAATGTATGGGTACACTATACCGATCCTGCTATGCTATTAGGACAGGATCTTTGCTCCTCCAACGCCAACGCTTGCTCGCTGCTGTGAATGAGAAGCAGAACCCGGCCAAATCAATCGTAGAAGATTGCAACACATTAAATCATTCGTTGAGCCATAGCCAATAAGCTTGTTCGTGTCTCCATCTCATCATTAAACTCCCACAGGTCTCTCTACTTGGCAGCGAACCTAGATCTGGCTCTCAAGTTCGCACCAAATTTCCACAAGACGAAAATGCCGATGATGCCTCCAACGGTCAGGCCTGCAAGCAAGCTGACACCACTGCCGACGCCCAAGTTGTGGAACAGGGGGCGAGAGAAGTGAATCGCGCCCGCGGCAATCGACGAACGGGCAAAGTCATTGCCCGCAAAAAGCGACGCAGCGTATTGTGGGTACGTCAAGGGGATGTAGATGAAGATGCACTGGAAGAGGATGAAGATCCCGATTGTGAATACGACGACGCCGAGCTGCAGATCCGATCAGTATCACTGTCCAAGACGACGGGTGGGAGGGGTCGAGCTTACCGTGGGCACAATCCAGTGAATCTTGGGAGAATTGTTACCGGTCCATGCAAACCAGAACAGGCCAATGGGCAGGAGCAGACTAGCTGGAAGGGCGGGGATGAGACGTCTCTCAGGCTCTCCAAGACCTCTGGTGCGAATCTCCGGCTCGAACACAAAGTGCAGATACGTGACGTAGATGGCAATTGCGATGCTAACGCCGACAGAGATGGAGAGGAAAATCAAGCCGATTTGGCCTCCGTTCATGCCGTAGCCATGTGTGGCCTTGCCTGGGTTGCCGGTAGCGTACACGAGGGGGAAGACTTCGAAGAAAGAGTAGAAGATGCTGTACATCAAGGCCGTGTAGAAACTGGTAAAGAGGACAGCAGGGTCGAGGATGTTGATCTGGGCAGGTCGCCAGAGGTTGCCAACCACAACTTCATTGAGGGTGAGTTTCTCCTGGTCGATCTCGGACTGGGACTTGAGGTTGTTGTTGCCTGTCAATTTGCGAAGACGAGCGGCACGGCGGAGCAAGATGTTGGAGGCGGATGTTTCGGGGAGCAAGAACAGGAGAGAGACGTAGACCGGGGCTGCGAGCCAGACAATCTCCCAGAGCGACCAATGCCAGTTCGTTGCAGGCACCGAGAAACCGGAGATGATTGGGCCAAGAGCCGGACCTGTTGTTTGTAAGTGGGATTTCCCTTATCATCAGGTCTAACTGGACTTACCCGCTGTAGCAAACGCTGCCCACCCGGTGAGGAAGTAAGGCAGCTTCAGTAGCGAGTAGATATCGCCAATGGAAGCGCCCCCGGTTGCCAAACAAGGACTGCCGAAAAAGCCTTGCAGAAACCGCAGAACGACGAGGGCAGGGAAGCTATTGACAACGGCGGTGGGGATGGAGATGATCACGAAGATTCCCAAGGTGACCATGTAAGGTGGATTGCGGCCAATGATAGGGATCTCCGAGAGAGGGCTGAAAATGAGGGGGCCGATACCGTATCCCAAGACATACATTGACAAGCCGAGTGCGGCGACGTTTGGAGAGACACCCATCTTCTCAACAATGAAGGGTTCAGAGGGAGTGAAAATGGCCGATCCCATATAGACAGCAAGCGTGTAGAGGTAGATTTGCAAGACGACAATGGTTTTCTTCCCCCTGGACCAATTCTGGGGATTCTCCGGGTCGTCGGTGGCATACCAATCGACCAAGATGGTGCCATCAGCGGTGACTTGAGGGGCAATGGGCCGACTGGGTTGATTCTTCAGCGTCTCTTGTCGCGTGGCATTGGAATAGGCCTGTTCGAGATCGGCGCGGGTGTTGACCTGGCTTAGCTCGGGTCGCGTCATGATCTTGGACAGCGTCCGGTCTGAAAGAGCAAGAGACTCCCCATCGGCGGCTGTTCTGGCTGCAGTAAGGCTGTGGGCGTCGTCGGAGTCGTCCTCGAGTTTCTTCTCGATGTCTTCAGGCACGGGTAGAACTGGCTGAGTTTGCCGTGCTGCACCAAGCTTGTGGGATTGATAGGACTCAGGCAGGACAAAATCGGACCTTTCCTCTGGATATTGGAGATACTTGTTCCTCGTAATGAATCGGATCACCTGGCCCACAGGGGCATCCCGCAACAGGGCGGACATGATGGGGACGGTTTCAAGGGATGCTGATAGAGAGGTGAATCAGGGAAGAGTCAAGGAAGCAAGAGAGATCGCGACACAGGATTTGGAATCGCCAAGGTTTGTATGCTTTTTCCCTGTAGAAGGCTTGAAGAGGCTGATGACAGACAAGACGAAAAGGAGACATGATGGGATGGTATATTATAGTTTCTTTCTCTCGATTCTACCATCCCAATGGAGTCAATGCACACATGTTATTCTGCGGCCAGCATGGTGAATCACTGTATCTCAACAGCCAGGCACGGGGGGGGAGATGGTCCGCTGCCCAGATTCTGAATAATCAACGAGGTAACGTAAAAGGGGGAAAGCGCACAGATGGAGACCGGGTATAAGCCATCACCATCACCATTGGGAGCAATAATTCCGTCTCGTTATGCTGGCTCGCTAGATACTCCCGGGCCAGCTAGTAGCGAAAAACGAGGCAGATACGCGCGTTATTTTGCGAGCAACGGATTGGAAAGCCGAATTCCTAAGATTCGACCGAAGATGCGGGACGAAAAGGTGGCGGGACGGGCAAGCAATCCTGGACAGTGGTGGATAGAGCTGGCGACTGGCTGATGGGATTGCGGACACAACGCAACGGAGATCGAGCGGACGGTGTAAATACCATTTGAGGGAAAAAGGGTCGGAAGAGGGAAGCTGGAAAGAAGGAAACAAGGAGAAGAGCCAAGCAGAGACCCCGTTAAACTCCGTGCAGGCCATGACGACAGCCAAGGCCAGCCTCGGACTTAGTCAGCAGCCACAGCCAAGACGCCATTTAGTAATCATGTGAGAAGGCTCGACGGCGGCCCATCTGGCCCATGTCTCCAGTATCACCAGCAACGTACCGAGTACGAGGCGCTTGGTAGGACCTCCGTATAAGCACGGGTTTGCCCTATTCGCTGCCTATCGGCCCTCCTGCAAATGACTCATCCGCGTCCGTCGTGGGGACAAAACCCCTGCAGAAATCCTTCTCTTGTCGTCCTTGTCCTCCCGGGCAAACGGCCCTTGTACATAGCACGAGGACTTCCACATGTGACCCTGTTGTTATACTGAGTCAGCATCGCTCCTGCACCTCGCATGCAGCTCGACAGGGACACAGAAGTCTTAATGGTCTGGCCTCGCCGGGCATCCCGGCATTGATTGGTGGACACAGGCACGCCTCAAATGGCGGAACCAGATGTGGAAAGTTCAAAGTTGCTCTCGGCATGCACAGATGCACGGAGAATTGCAAACCAGTATCAAAAGAGTCCTACGTACAGCACCAGCCTGAACTGTCTCTGCATCCTCCCCCGACTCGTCCTTGAACCAATGGTGATGCATCTCGATCGTTAACCACGTTTAGCTCTTCCCCTTGTGAACCTCTACTCGAACAAACCCTTCTCGATGCCTTGTTCCCCTCTCCTCCCCCTTCCATAAAAAAAAAAAAAAAACAAATGGACGCAGCGTGGAGCTAATGTTGCGTTTCATCTTGACCCTGTGCGTGCGCTTTCAGATTCTCCTTGGCCAGAGTCTTTGCGAATAATGTCTGCGGCTTGGCGTTCCTGGAACTCACGTAGTGTGGTTAGCTGGTGTCCCGTTATGATCATGGGTGTGAAGAGGAGCAAGGAATAATAAGCGCACATGAACCGCCGGCCCTTGATCTCGCTCAGCTTTTTTGTTGTGGGACTCCGAATCGCATCCGAGGGCGAGATGTAAGTCTGATTCCCCATGTTTTGATACCGATTCTGCATGCATTCTCCACGTTGCGGCCGCGGCTCGAATCGAGGCATCGCCCTGTCCGCATCCTCCAAAGCAAGCTTCCCGGGAGACGGGGGTTTCGAGGGCGACGCGGCGTTGGGAGATCTCTCGGTGAGAGGAGCGGCCTTGGTGGGTGACATAGTTGGGGACAGCGAGGATTGGGAGGAAGAGGGATGAAAACGTCGGTCGGGATGGATTTCAGTCCGGCTTGCGGCTTGCTTGTCCCGGGCGCCACACGATTGATCGATAATTGGTAATCGATAATCGACAATTGACAGGTCGATGACTGAAGCGCGGAGAAGTGGCTCGCGTTGATTCAGCGAGACTGGAAAGTCGGCGTGTATGCAGCTTGCGGACGGGCTTGTCGCAGTCACCGAGTTAGAAGAAGGTCTTGTCAAAGAATTGGCCGGCCAAGATGGTCCGTAGCAGAAAACTGCTGGCGGCGTCTTTGAGTTGCATTCCCGGCGGCGCAGGTGTTTGTAATGACGTCATTGAAATGACTGGCAACGTTGACGGGGCAACGGCATTCCTCGCCGACCGCTTACGGCGTACCTCGTATGCAGCATGAGCACGACAGTCAGAGACAGTTCAGCGTCTTGTTGCAGAGTAAACGAAATCTGTTGGCCCACACATGGCATATACACTGCCATTAGCCAGATCCCATACGCCCTTGTAGACCCAACACCAACCCAGCCATCGCGCAGATACAATAATGATGATGCCGCCAACTCTGATTTTTGAAGCCACTTCCACGAAGCTCGACATATCGTGGTTGACTAACCCGCATCAATGGTCTGATGCTCTTCCCCCACCCGCTGGACAAGGTCGACTTAGGTATTAGGTGCTCTCATCCACAATAGCATCCTCGTAATCATCGGCCTCGTCTTTCTGATACATGAAGAACTGCACGAAAATCGCCATATCCAACAACAGCGTTCCCAAGCTGCCGGCAATCCAACTCGCATTGACAGCAATATATCTCATGTAAATGGCCTTGGCTTCCCCAGGCCGACAATGGTCAGGATGTTGACAGACGGGCGAATACGCAAAGATGGACATGTCGTAGGTCAAGTTGCCGATACACGCAAATAGGAAAAACAGCAGAGAGACCCCTTCGGTGCTTTTACGCTTGTAGTTGAGCAGTAATTGCGGCACTCGTGACCCCAGATAGAGGACGGCGCAGAGGTAGCCGAAGATCTGACCCAACACGTCGAAGTCCAAGGGCTGGGGCTCGTCCTTCTTGTGATGGCGTTGCTTTTGCGTGCCGATCCACCAGCCAAAGACCCCCGCGGCGCAGACGAGGAGAATGGCAAAGGTGTTGAGCAACGCTGCCTGCCACGCGGTGGTCGGCCGAATAGCCCTGACAGCGGACGGGTCGGTTGGCTTCGGCGGATCGATCAAAGGCGTGACGGGAGACAAATGGGCGGCTTCCAGAGACAGATGGCGCCGGAGCTGTGATATCGAGGACGAACGTTCGTGTTCGTCCCTGGAGGGTGGCTGCGTCACCGAACCGCTGTGCAGCAAGGGCCGCGTTTCGGCATCTCCGTTTTGCGGATGCTGGGGTTTCACGTAGTCGGTCAGGGTGAAGCCACGGTAGTAGAAGCACTGTCCCAGCAGGACGATATCTGCAAGGGTGTAATAGACAGCCAGGATGATCATGGTCGGCAGCACGCCCTGCAGGACGGCGCCAAGGATGTTGAAGACATCGCCCGCCAGCCACACGACGATGAAGACAATCGATAACCCTTCGGCCGACCCTCTCCGGAAGTTTTCGATGATCTGAGGTGAAAAGACGACCACCCAGCAGGCGATGGAGATGGAGCCACAGATACCGGACAGAGCCTCGATGTCGAGCGAGGTTCCTTGTTGAGGCGGGAACATGATGGAATGTAACAAGGTGCTGTTGTGGATGCCGAGGGCCGCCGCTGACCAAACCTCTGCTTGATGGATGTCTCTCAATATGCTCCGAGGGAAGCTTGAGATGAAAAGAGCTGCAGGCAGACACGGAAGACGCAGAGCGGAGAGCGCGAGCCAAAGGATGGAGTAGTATTATGATGATGATGAAGGATTTTGCGAAGAAAAGGACGAAGCTGAGAATCAAGGATGAGGACGACAAAAGCGGAGGAGAAGCGCCAACGGGGCACGCGAAATCTCTGCGCCGAAAAGCTACAAGTAGAAAGTCGGAACGCCAAAAATCTGGGGTAAATCATGTAATAGAAACAGATTGCCACCGATGCTAGGCTTCAAAGGGGCAGCTCTGGGCAGCTCCCGTCCCAGATCCGCTCTATGCTGCTCTGGGTAACCATTCGCGTGCCCTTATGCAGGTACATTTCTTTGTACCTCCCGAGGTATGTACGGAGTATCTATACACCATATAAGCGTGTCCGGAAAGGACGCCCCCCCCATCGACGCCGCCCGTCCATTCCATCGCATCGCCATATTTCTGGTGTTTCCAGTGTCTCGTCAAGCAGCATACGTACTATCCTCTATAAGTACGAGCGATTGCGATCAAACAAGCCCCTCCATCAACATTCCTCCTCTCCCTGGTGCCGTCAATCTACTCCCGGACGGGGCTGTGGACATACAGAATTCAGTCATCACTCCGACATGCTTTTCCGGCCATAGGTGAATCAAAAACGTGACCCTGAGGACCTCTCCCAATGCATAGAGTATTCGCCGTGAAAAAGTCCATCCTGCCCGTCCAGAATAGTCATAACATAGCCATGTCATTACTTCCGTTTGCCGCCGCATCCAAATAATGCCATGAATCCGCCTCCACCGCCGCCGGTGGCCTCTTTGCTGGCCTTTTCTTTATCTACTGCAGGGTCTTGCGCCTTGACGCCGAGTTCAATACTGCTGAGGTCCTTGGTGTTCTCGAGCCACTGTAGATCCTGCTGCGTGTTGATACCGAGACCGGCCTCGATGCTGGTTCCAGGCTTTGAGAGCCAATCTTTCAATTCCATGGTCGTCGACTCGCTGACTTTGTTTGCTTGCATCGTGCTCCACGTTGTGAACAGATGATCTGCTTGTAGTTAGCCATGGTGATCCGGACGAAACCAGTGACAAAATATTGTTCTCGTACCATATTCCGCCACCCCTTTGCGCAGCTCTCGCAGTATCCGAGTCTTCTGCAACATCTTCTCAGAAGCGCTTCCCGGTGAATTGGGGCTTTCGAGCTTCAGAAGCTCTTTCTCCAACTGCGAGATTTCGTCTTGCAGACATAGGAGTAGCCTCACGTGCACGGCATCAAACCGCCGGCATATAATCGTGTTCTTCTCCGTCATGAACGACGCCATTTCAGCATGTTCAAACGGCCGAAAAGCAGACACTGCTGAAGGTACTGGTTCGTCGATGGGAGCCTGTAATGCCCTCTGCGAATTACCTTCCCGCGTGGACGGTCGTCGAATTTGCGCTCCGGGAGGTAACTGAGGAAGTGGTGTGGTCGGGGCCGGCGTCGGGACCTGTGAATCATATATGGTGGACCTGGGGGTCGTTGCGCGCGAATCGGTCGATTTCCTGGATTTATTACGAATAGATGGAGGCCTTGGGATGATCTCGGCATCATCCGAGCTCGAGTTACGCTGCGACCGTAGCGAGACGTTTGATGGGTGTGAATGCAGCGCTCGTTGTCGCCGTTCGGATGCTGTAGACTTCGCAGGTTGAAGCTTTTGAGGGGGATCTGGCTGCCGAGGCGGTTCAGCGGGTGGCAGCTTTGGAGATGGCAAAGGTTGGACCAAAGGAGTTGTCGTAGATGCCGTTGGCCCTAGCCGGGGTGATTCCTGGGGTGTCTGAGGTAGGCTGGGGACCAGCGGCCGCCCAACTGTCGTTGCGACGGATGTCACATGTTTTCGGTTATACTTGGAGGTCGGCGGAAGCACTGTACTCTTCTTGGTTGCCGTTGAAATCATAGACGACCGAGTAGATGAGTTCAGAATTGAGTCTCCGACCGGTTCCGGGGGCGGCGCTGGGAGACTCAAGTCTCGTTCCTCCATGACAATTGCAGTCTCGTTCTCCTCGCTGTTGAGTGCGCCAACCATGTCTCCAGGACCCTCGGTGCTAACTGATATCTTCTCTTCACTTGACTCTGCTGTGGTGGACATGGTTTGACGATTATGTCCTTTATCCCCATCTTGAGAAGCTTGGACAGAACCTCCTATACTGGGCAACGGTTCGATGCTGTCTTGTGGGCTTTGGGACCTCGAATCCGAATCTGACGCCACACTCTCAGGCGCCAGAGCACTCTTTGAATAGGTGTGAGAGAAGCCCGGGCGAGGCTTCGGAGAATTGGCCTGTGACGACGGAAAGAGTGAGAATGAGGCGGGTGGCTGAGGAAGGGTTGATACTTCTTTCTCTGTCGGAGACAAGGGCGGTTTGTACGTAGCGGTGTCCAGTACAGGAATCCAATTGGGATCGTGAATGTCGACCGGCGTCGAAGTATTGTAGTAGGACCGCCTTCCGGTGGGTAGCTCTACCGGTGCTACCGCAGCAGCCATGATGCGAAGATTCCTGTTTTGGCTCCCGTCTGTATTATGCTAGCTGGAACCGACAGTTGAACAGACGCTGAAGCATAGAACTCCGAAAATTCTGTGACAGAGAATCGCGCGGACAACGCATCTGGCACTTCTGGCAATTGACGCGAAGAAAAAAACAAAAGTCAGCTGCACGTTGTACGAGTACAGGTACTGTGGTGTGCAGTTTAGCGGTTAGCGAGCGAGGGAGTAGAATGTCTCCCGGAAGGTTTGTTCCAACAACGGGGTATGGAGACAAGAGGGCTTGGATGTGAACACCGTTCAGCACATCCTCGTCGTAATACTTAGTCGCAGGAAGGACCATGCCACATTGGCCTCGGGGCTAGTATCCAGGAGTGTCCACCCTGCGTCGCACCCATTACGCCGGGCTGAAGCCACAAGGGGCAGAACCCAAGGCTAGCAACGGGCGATCAGATGGAAAGCCAGCTCGGGGAGGGTGAATTGCTAAAAAGGGATGGCGTAGCCTCATCCAGCTTGGTGAAGCACCGGGTGGCTGCTTGGTGCTGTTAGCACGAAGATTGAAATGAAATAGAAAGAGACAATAAATCCAGAAAGAGGGGGGAAGGAAGGACGACGAAATCCCTCCCCTGCCGGCTCCACCAGGCTGAACTCCATTCCAATCATCAACTGCATCTCGCTGAATCCTCCTTGCCGGAAAGCCGTTTGGTGCCATGCTTATACTAGACCTTATTCAGCCCATGCGGCATGGCGAGGTCTGATAAAAGTTGAGGGATTGCCCTGGAATCCATGCTGCAAATCCCAGACAAGGGAACAAGCGATATTATCATTCTGCTAACAAGGCTTGAAGGGTCTGGTAAAGAAATTTGCTCTCGAGGGGTTTGTTGTGCTGTATTGTAGGTAGTAGTCATGATTACCTGTTCATCCATCAACCGGACGCATTGCCTATGCTGGCCCGTATCAGAGCAACACCAGACAAATGCAAGGGACTTGACGCAGGTCAGCCTTGGATGTTTGGTTGTTGTGAAACCTCGCCAGTCCAGGTATATATGTATACGGAGAATAACTGAGGCATTTGGCACCACTGAGGCCGCTGTTGCAAAACTGGACCCCAAGAAGCAGCAAAACCATGGCGATAAACACCTGAGGAGCTTCTGCCTTGAATATTGGCGCGTCTCCTTCCAATTACCCTGGTCCCGCTTATGACAAACGGCGTTGGGGGCTAGGGCGAGCTGTGAAGATCAGCCTGGGTGGCCTCACTAGTGCCGGCCTACCGGTAGGCCGGCAGCACGGGCGTCGAGAATAATAGCAACAGAAGTGACAAAAACAGGTGTTCATGGCTAGGCGAGGTGCAATCTTCGGTCTTGTCGAGAAGGATTCGCTCGCCAACGTCTAAGGATGTTGTTGACGAGGACGAACGTGGAAGCTGAGCAATTTATGTGATTATACTGGGTATTCGGTCCTTCGACGAGGCAGCTCCCGAGTCACCTGCCGAGTCACCTGCCGAGTCTGCAGCCCTAACTTCATTCATGACTGCCCAGTGCGCCCTACTTGGTGTTACACACCACCAACACTACCCAGCGAGACCAGTACCCATCACGGCATATGGGATACAACTCGCTTCTTCTCACCCTCTGTGACACAACAACCAAGAGCTTGAGAAAAGCAAGCTGCTGATATAAGACGGTCGCCAACAGGGCCCTACTCCCTACCCCTACAGCCACCTGTGCCCTCAGGCCCCTTCTCGTCCGAAATCGCCACCGCAAAGAGCACTTGCTTGTCCATGCAGCTACCACGGCTGCCAATGAATTCGCTAAGAAGCCGAGCCAACTAATCGGAACACAAGCGAGATAGGCAGCGAGTGGGTTCAATGAATTCCGGCCGTGGCTCGCCTAAAGCTGCCTCTCTACCACATCCGACTCAGCTGGGCCATAGCCAGGAAGAAAAGATTCAAACGAGATTTGTGGTTGTTGCCTGTCACTCATGCTATTGAAATAGTTTGCAAAAGATGCGGGCGGGATGAACATCGGCGCAGGGCATGGATCGTACGCGACAACCAACCGTGCCTGTCACGTCCCCGTCTTGCCGAACCAAGTCGAAGAATGGCTGCAGAACATGTAAAATCCGCAAAGTCAAATGCGATGAGCTGATGCCAGAGTGCAGACGGTGTACGTCCACCGGACGGAAATGTGACGGCTATGGGATATGGGGAGGCGGCGGTGCTGGTGTTGGAAATACAAACCCATACCAACTGCGCCATCGTCCTCAGCCCGCGAGGAATGCTCTCGCAGAACACCGTGCTCGCTCCCCGCTTACCTGCCTCAGCACCTTCTGCGTCTATCCAGCTAGCGCCCTAGATGCACGCGAAAAGTACCATTTTGAGTGGTTCTGGTGTCGGACTGCCAGGAAGATCCAGGGGGCTTTCTTCTCGGATGTTGGGAATACTGTGTTGTTCCAGGCCAGTGCCACCGAATTGGCCGTGACCCATGCAGTGTTGGCCCTGTGTTCCATCCACAAGGGTGCCGATATGTCTATCCTTCTTCAGCACGAAGAAAGCTTCGCCTTGGTCCAATACAACAAGGCAATCAGATACCTACAGCCTAGGCTGATGGCCAACGACCCGATGTCACTCCGCCTGTCTCTCCTGTCGTGCATCGCATTCGTCTTCTTGGAGTTCTTTCGCAGCCATTATCAAACCGCCAGAAGCCATCTTGAGCACGGACTCAGAATGTTGGACTACCTGCAAGCCCTCTCAAGTACAACGAGAAGCGAGGGCATTGGCGGCAAGCAAAGCAGCTCCTTCGTCGATGACTGGATTGTGCGCAACTTCAGAGGATTGTACCTGCAATCTACATTATTTGGCCAACAACCGCGCCGCCCCTGGGTTATCGTCGATGGCTTGAAGCACATCTCCGAGATTGCGACCTTCTCTTCTGCGCATCAGGCGAGGGAATATCTGGAAAACCTGCTGCTCAGGACCTGTCAACTGGCAGAGACTTGTTCGAAGCAGTCTTCAGATTTGTCTGACGAAGCGCGTCCAACGCAACAGCCGTCAAAAGAAATAGAGCGCGATCTCCAATCATGGAAATTGATTCATGACAAGACCTTGGCCATTTTCAGGTCCACCATGAACGGTCTTGAGGTATTTGCGTATAGGCTGCTTTGCGTCTATTACACCATGGCCGAAATCATGGTTGACACCGTGTGCCAGACGAAGGAATCGAGGTTTGACCGTCATACCCCACGCTTTGTGTCGATAATTGAGCAAACGGTGCAATTGCGCCATATGGCGTTGGCGAGCAAGGTCCGCCAGAGGTATTTTGGATCAGAACAAGGGCTCTCGCATTCGATCGCTGACATGGGACTAATTGCGCCACTGTTTTACCTTGCCATCAAATGTCGAGTGCATTACCTTAGACTCCAGGCCATCAGATTGATCGACGAAACTCCCCACAAGGAGGGTATCTGGGATGCTACTCTTGTTGCGCAGATTGCAAGGAAGGTAATGGCGATTGAAGAAACAAGCATATGCACCTCAGACGTGTTCGTCGATGACTTTCTTTTCTCAGATGTGCCCCGTGAACAGCTTCAGTCGTCCCCCCTTCCGGCAGCCTTAGGCCTAGTGGAAGCAGTTGAAGTCTTGCTGCCCGATAGCCCTTGGGATCCTGTCACACTGAAATGCTCTTATCAAGACAACACCAAATGGGACACTTACCTGATCGAGCGGGCATGAGATGGCTGCCGAGTTCTGAACGGAGTGAGAAGGAAACAAAGAGCGTCTACGGACGATCCTCGAGGAACGATATGGTAGGTAATCATCATCGACTATGACTCCACGAGCTTTGGCCGGAGTCGGACAAGGAGGGAGGGTTTATGCTCCGATGCCTGGTTTCTTTAGCACCATCCTCTCGTCCAGTCTATCCTTGCCCTGTCACGAAGCAGGGCCAATCGCGAAGAGAAGATTCCGAGGACACAAATAGCAGAAGGAGGGTTATGGTCATGACGTCTTGCTGTCGCTTTTCACTGTGGATTCAGCATTCTATTCGGCGCTCCCGCACACTAAATGACCAAGCCTTCCTAATCCAATGGTATATAAATGCTGGTCCAAGTGACTTGTTTTCCACGGGACCTCCGGAGGACAACAGGTAAAGACGCCAAAGGTATTTGTGTCGCAGAGCTTGACTTCTACAAGAAAAAAATTGCTGGCCTAGAGACAACAAGCAACCCGTTATCCCTGATTCATCTTACAATATGGTATCCACATCGCACGTGAATTTCGGTGCCACAACCGACGCCATGACTGCTACCGCTCCCTTTCCAGGTTTAATCAGAGGCCGTACCATCCTCATCGCGGACGTCAACAGGAAAAGGATTCGGTACGCGACCGCCGAAGCGTTGGCCTCACAGTCTCCTTGCTGTCTCATTCTGGCCAGACGCTCTCCGGCGAAGGGACAAAAGTGTATTGACACCCTGCGCCAAACAGTACCCGGCTGTCGACTATCGGCTCCTGCAAGTTGATCTCGGCTCTCAAGAGGCCAGTCCGGACGGCTGCCTCTCAGGTCCTCGGTTGGGACGACGACGACGACATGCCGACCATGACTTGGTCATCAACAACGTCGGCACGATGTGGATTCCTGTGCACACGCCGACTCCGGAAGGAATCGAGTTGACCCTGGCTCCCCACTATAGGGCATAGGATACAATTCAGTGGCCCAAGGATAGAGGACAAAATCGCCAGTTCTAAAAGGAACAATGATAGCATTCAATCGGGCAAGACTAGATTTTCGTCATTCCAATCAACGAGTGATTCTTTCTGATTGATATCGATATCCCAAGTTCAGTTCCCTTTGCTGCATAACATATCAGCAAGACCCTGACGGGGCCCCTGATCGTGGATCTATATTCCGGACTGGCGAGTGCACATCAATCATCCTTTGTTCCGTCCGTCCTAGTGTTCCTTTCATAATGCTTCATGCCAGAACAAATACAGACTCCCCCAATCTTCT